CAGCAGCAGCAGCATTGCAGCCCGCCGCCGTGCCGGGACAGGCTATCTATCGGATCGGCTCCTCTGCCCGCGCCAGGCCGGGCCGGCGTACGCAGCTAGACACACACTCTCTCTCCCTATCCCCGTCGCCTAGTTGTGGTGGCCTCTGAGTGCGACGAGGGCGGAGTAACTCGGGGAACCACCCAGACCAGACCAGGCGTGCGCCGGGGGGGACCGCCCCGCGCGCACCGGGGGCGGCCGCAGGTGGGTGAGCCGCGAGCGGGCGTGGGCCGCGGGCCTGCCTGCGCACCGCCCCGCAAAGAGCGGCAATCGAGAAAGCTCGCCGTCTCGAAACTGCCGAGTTCAGCCTGCGCCAAGCAGCTCCCATAGCGCCTGTTAGGTAGGCAAGATCTTGCTTGCAGTGCATGCGTGTACCGCGGGGTGGCCTACCCCGAGTCTCGCAGGCGTCAAGCTCCCGTAAATTTACCGCATGAATCTGAGGGAAAAAAATGAACGTATTTTCCGGACAATATCAAAGGCACTATGGCGACGGCAGTGATCTGTTCCAGCACACGGCAAAGGCAGCAGGTGGCTGCAGTCCCATGCAGTCCCATCGAGCGAAAAGGGAGATAGCTAGCTACTGCATATTGGACACGGGCCTTCCGACCACCAGATGTGAATGCCCTTTGTGTTTTCTGAAGGCGAACAAAAGAGCGAAACACACTTCTCGGTGTCTGTCTAGTACCACCGGGCCGAAGATCCAGTCAAACGCAGTTGCTCTCTGGAGGGAACAATGAGTGTTTGTCATGTTTGCCGTTCCTCTCGGAACAGCATAATCTACAGAAACTGATTGCAACCAAAGGGTTCACGAAGCTAGGAGTGGGCCAAGATTGGTGGTGTGCTGACACATCGGCCGGGGGGGGGGGAGTGCCGGTCGGTGCATGGGTTTAGGCATGTCACCCACCAGGGCCGGCGTCCGGGGGAGCCGGGGTCGTGCAGCTCCTCGCCGCGCTCGCGCGTGCAGGCCCGCCGGCGCCAACCGAACACCACAAAAAGATATTTAAGGCAATAGCGGCAGCGGCGTGACGTCACTATGTGCGTCACGGCTGTGCTTGTTCTCGGTAGGAACGACAGCATTGCCGATGATGGCCGCTTTACGACAAGTCGATTTGATAGGGGGAGAGGGGGAGGGGTCAAAGGTCATAGGTCTGTAGTGAGCGACGCAGGAGGGCAGGGCGGGTGCAAAGGGGGCGCCAGGACGGAGGGCGGCGTTTGGAAGTCAACAGCCAGCCACCCGCCGAGCACGGCGCACGTATAGACATCACAGCCCTGCGGCAGGAGCGGGCATCGGATGCCGACTCTTGGCGTCTGAAAGTGAATGGGAGTGAGAGGGAGCTATGGCCCGGAGCGAGCTTCTCACTCCCCACTACCGCTTTCCGATGCCATGTGGGCATCCGATGCCAGCCCGCTGCAGGGCTCTCGTACGCATGGTGGATTTTTGGGGGTTGGATTTGAGGGTGGCCATGTTAGTACGGAGGTGCCGTACCAGCGTCTCACGACGTCAGCTAGCGTGAGCTCAACTTGACAAGCGGTTCGACCCTTCGGTAAGTGCGGAAAGTAGTTGTCCGAAGCCTGCGCCAGCGCCCATCTACCAATACCCGTTTAAACATTGCCGAGCGCGAACCTCGATCGACATCCAGAAATTCTGTGGGGGAAAGTCAAGTCATCTGAGCTTAGCCAGGGGTAGGGTCGGGTAGGGGTTTGCGCCCCGCCCGGCTGGCGCGGTCTCCTGACGCCTTAGGTGTCCTCATCGTGAAGCGTTTCTTGCGGGCTCTCTTTCTCTTGGCTGAACTTGAATGATCGGACCCTCCCGTGCTCTGCTTACTTCGACGGAATGTTTTTCATCGTTGTGGAGATATTCCATTACTGGGAAATAAGAACATGTTTCGCGCTAAGTGGCCGAATTCCAAGAAATGAAAGCAAACCGAAACCAAAATAATGGGAACGCTGCTTCACTTTAGCTGCAGCATAGCCCAGACTGAGCGACCTTTGCTCCTCGTATCGGATAATCTTATATTTACCTTTTGTTTCCTCTCTCCATTTCGTGCATTCTGAGGGCCGGGACGGTCGGCAGCCGGTGGCGAACCAGGCCGGAAGCTGTCCGGCCACCGGATGTATGTCGGCAATACGACCCCGCTAGCAAAAACAACCCTATTCTCTATGGATTGGATTAGACGAGTATCTCCCAGTGCCAAATCAAAATCAATTCGATATCAAACCAATATCAAGACCATATCAGAAATGCGACGATTTGAGGACGACTTCTGGATCGACTCTACACACGAAAATAGACTATTTTTCGGTTTCAATATCACAATTTCTAATTAAGGGTGAGACTTTTACTCACTGTGAAAAATTGTCGTACCGGGTACAGGAAAATTTTCCATGGAAGAAGTCGTACAAGTACAATCTAAAATTGTACAATTTACTAGCCCTGTGTATCGGCTTGGAATCGAATATCGAGCGACAGTGGTAGGTTGTACATGTACGACTCGTATTGTAAATGGCAAATTACAAAATATATCGTACATGTACAAATATATTTCTCACAGTGCTCTTTAAAAAAGCGCCGGTCCGGATAGTTATTCGATATGTGAAACGAAATGAAGAACCTTCAAGGAAGTCAGGAAGGGAATTATTGAAAACGCGTTGGATGTTGGATACGGATTTCAGCCACGAGATTCTTGCAAAGATTCTTGAAGTTTTCTCTCGATTCTGAATTATTGTTTTACACAGATTACACCGACCATCGCAACATGCGGGCATTTACTCCCCCGACAACGGAATATGTCCGCACAATAAACGTTCCACTGGTGATGCTAATGATAGCGCCTGCTACGCGCTGGGTAGGCCGGCCCGCCAAGCACCGGTGTCACGAAGGCAGCCCGCCTCCGCCTATAGCGCCCAAGTGCGGGGGATGCGGACAAGAGAGCGTATCACGCCCAACGTTCCCACTCATCACCTTCGGAGGATGTTCGTTATAGAGGCGGTCACCTTAAGAGTTCGGTAGCTTCTTGCCTTATTCGCGCCTACATATACGCATCCTTTGCATGCAATGCTGCCTAGAGGTTGGCCTATAGACACTCGTCTTCGATCAGCTGTTGTTGTTTGGCAATCGTGCTGAGCGTCACCCGCCAGTCAAAGTCACGTGCAAATGTGTGCGGGCGCCATCACGTACGCACTGGGGGGACTTCGCCATCTCCCAACCAGGCTTTCCTTTGTTTCTTATTTGGTCTCGCTCATCTTCATGTCTCATTCCCCCCCCCCCTTAATTTTTTCCTTGAAAAATGTTTTTTTTTTCGAGGCTGGGCCGGCGTTGTGTACATTTTAAAGATTTATATCCAATGTGATAATAGTCACTTCATCATAATGCAACATTTTACGTCCCCCCCCCCTATCTCACTAACTTTTGACAACAGCAATGGGAAGGGTGAGGGAAGTGATTTGTCAGCCCTATCATATCAGATACTCCACGGCAGGGTTCATAAAAATAGCCCCTTTGTTCGCGTGAGTACGTTTTAATTATTCATTGTTTGTTTTGCGATGAAACAAAGTAAGCTGGAAAACCTATGGCCGTTTGTGGCCCTCCCATCCCATATTCTTACATTCTCGTCACTCACGGACCAAATGGGCCAAGCGTGACGGGCACGTTGGTGACAGTGGCACGTGGCTCGTCCCGAAGTGCCGCAGCGACACTGAGGCCACCCACTCCCTACCCGGTTAAAGGAATCGTGATTACTCATATATATGATATGGCTTTATCGGGCGCTGCAGCTGCCACACATCGCCTGCCGCCCGTTGCAAAGGGGGGGGGGGGGGGGGGTAAGCTCGTCACAACTGACGAACAGAAGGTGCACGAAGACTGGCTCAAAGAAAGTCAAATTTGTCATTAGAAAGGTGAGGAGAGTAAATGAAGAGTAAAATGGAGGCCTGGTTAGAGGGCGAGAAGGAAACATCCGACACCCACCGGCCTCCGGCCTCTCCTTCCCTTCCCGGCGCGGTCCGGCTAACAGAGGGCGATGTGCCCGTGAGCCCGTGAGTTGTCTACACACATGGGTCCGGGTTTTTGTAGCACAATGGGTATCCTTAATCCACCCCTGCCTTTTCTAGGACCTCACACTCCTGTACCTCTCGCAAAAAATCACATAAAGGTCATCATTTACAGAAAAATTACCCCACTGAACGACATGAGTCTTTACAAGGTTGGGGTTTAAATTCTCGTGGTGGGGTCTCCCGCGACAAAGGCACGGGGGCGATTGAACTTCCCTCTTGGCGGCTTCGGGTTCCCGCCAACGGTAGGAGCGTCGCTCCGCGCCCGTATGCGGAGGCGGCGAGGATAGGGACATCGACTATGTAGGTCCCGATGACACACTCCCCGGCCACGGTGTGTCGCCGATAAGCATGGGGCAGACCAGACAGATAATGATGGGCCAGGTGCTGCCGGGTGCAGCCCGAGTCGCCTGTCGCCCTCCCCCGCGCCCCGCGCGCCCCACGGCTGCCTGCGCCCTCGCCGCACCGCCCTCACACTCACCATGGGCGGCGTGTACAGGTGGCTGTCAGAGTCCTCGCTCACGGTGTAGTCGCTCTCGTAGTGGACCTCCTCGGGCGCGTGGGTCAGTCTGGAGGTGACCGCGGAGCGGATCACAGCGGTTCCCATGTGACGGCGACTGTTTACCGGCCGCCCCGATCAATCAAGGGACAATACACGTCTGTCACGTTTGTCACACAGCCTTACTCAAACAAAAACAGAAGCGCGCTCATTTGGCTGCCTTCCCTGAACGGTGCGCGCCAACCGTGGGCAAGGCGGTGAGATCTGCGGAGAGTGCAACTTCATCAAGGTATGAAAACGTTGCAGGTACGGACAGACAGACAAGATATGCTGTGCATCATGTTGATTGATTGTAAACAAGACCGCCTCAAAGAAAAAAAAATACCTGTTGACATTGGTTTTATTTGTATTCATCTGTAGTGTGCCGGGCCCAGCAGCCTGCTGCAATCGTGATGTCAGACAGTGACGATGACATTACCATTTTGGAAGAGAAACTAGTGAAAGATTCAACTAAGAGATGGAAGTGGAAAACCCCCAATCCTGTCCTCATGAGAGGGGACAGTGAACAAATCCTCCAGAGTGTAAGGGTAAAGCTTAATATGCAAAATAAGATCATCCCTGGGAACACTTATGATGGTTCCCCAGCTGCCTCTTTTGTTATGGATAAGAGACCTGAAGATATGCTCATTGAAAACCAAAGGCCTGGAAAGCGGAAGAGGAGCAACACTGATACAGACTCACAGAAAACCCCTACAAAATCAAATGAATCAAAGACTGTTGTGCCGCTTACACCTGAGCAAATTTTAGAGCTTACTGAGAACTGCCTGGACTCAGATAATGAACCAGAATTAACTCCTGTGAAAGAATCTCCTCAAACCCAACAAAGAGAAAACTCACAAGTGTCCAGTTCCAAAAGAGCATTAAATTTTGGTATCCGAGCCTCCAGCAGTCTCAGAAACCGCTCATCAAAGTTTTTTGGAGCTGGCACTTCCAGTACAGATGTTGATGAAATATTGAGCCAAGGTAAAAGTGTATTCAACTTTTTCTACTTCCTATGTAAATAACAGTGCGTCCAACTACTTGTAAACTATTTGTAGCACAATGAAGACAATGCCTGTAGAAGGTCCTATCATCCTATGAGTAGAAATTTTTTTTTGTCACTATCAAATTCCTAAAATTTACCAAGAAAAAATTACACCTAAAATAAATAACATCCTTCAAAATTACCTTCTGATGTATCCTTAATGTGCTAAACTAATTAATTTAAAATGTTGTATCTGTTAATTAACGATTTCAGAAACTTCGGAAAGAGGAGAAGGTCGATCTCCCTCAAGGACACCATCACCTAGAAAGAAAAGGCTGCCCAAAAATTCACCTATTCGGTTATTGCCCAGCCATAGTCATCGTAAGAGTCCTGCAAAACCTAACATGAGATCTTTAAGTCCAAGAAAAAGTCCCGGTCCTAACGGAACTCCAAAAAAGGACGAAGATTTCAGTGTAGAAGATCATTTAATGATACCAGAAGGGCCGTATTATTATGAAGCATTTTGCTTCATGATAAAGGTGATTGTGGTCCTCTTACCAATTTTCTTTTTCTTTCTTGCGTTTCACGCAGACTAACTGTTTTCTGTTATGCTAAATGTTTTTAGAAAGTTTGTGAAAATTCAGAATATACCCACTTATTCCTTGATTCGGAACACAAAAAACTTAAAGAAGTCTATCACTCAAGAGAAGAGTTCCAATTATATGTAAGACTAATGAATAGGAAAGACAAATGGAATAGATGCTCAGATATTAAATACAATGATATATCTGCCAATCTCACTCCACATTTTGATTATTTGGAATCTCAAGGATTCATATCTTGCGGTAAGTCAGTTTACAGTCATTTACTAATATAATTATTATTTTTATGGCACACAATTCACAACATTTGGTTCCTTGCCATTTTTCAGATCTGAAAGATGAGAAAATAGAGGATATACTTTCTCTTTTAAAGCTAGAAGAGCTTAAAACTGTTTGCTCTACTTTCAAAGTTAAAAAGGAAAAGTTAAAGAGTAAAACAATCAGTGCATTGGTGGCAATGCAGAAAAGCCAACCTACTATACTAGGCATGCCAAGTCCTTTATTGAAGAGGTGCTGTGTCTAAAATACTTACAATGAAAATAGAAACCTGATACTTCCCTGTTGTAGTCTTCTAATAGCTTATATTATCTTTTGTAGTGTGGTTGCTGTGTTAGGGAGATGTGTAAAGCTGAACATGGAGTGGCGCAGAGTGTTTCGTCGGTGCATTCTTCTATTTTCCCTATTTCACTCACATGAAGATTTAGATAAATTATGTTCTGAGCAAGCTCTACTATTGTTGCAAGTGAAACTTGGAAATATGGTGTTACCCCTGGCTGATAAAAGTAATTTACCCAGTCATAAAGTGTTTGAAACCAGGGATCAGTTGATCAGGTAGTGCACTTATGACAGTATATATTAAAGATATTAATGTGTTTATACCAGTTATAATTCACTCTTTGGCATATCTCTTTCCATAAATAGGTTTGAAGAAGCTAAAGAACTTAAACAAAGTTTAAGCTATGCCATGGAAGTAAAGAACTTTGACGAAGTCCAGGAGTTAGTAAGAAAAATTATGAACCAGTTTGCTGCACTAAGGAAACTAACATCTGAAACGTGAGCATAATTGGACTTTTCCAGTCAATATTTTTTGGAATAGTAGTGTTGTTTCTTTGAGGATAATTTTTTTGGTAATCGTTTAGACAATACATTCTTCAGCTGCCCAAATTTTTACATCGATTTTGTGCGGGCACAGTGTATGCTGTTGCCCTTACTCAATCAATTGAAGCATTGAAGCAGGCTCGACAGTACCAAATGGCTATAGATGTACTTGACCTGCTGAATGATCAAACAACTTACTGTCCTGATTACAAAGGAAAGTGGATGTTAAATAAGGCTACAATCTTTCATGTCAATCTTAAAGAACTAGTTAAAGTAAGTCCAAAATCTAATCTGATAATTATTAACTTGAGACCTGAAAATAAAAAGGGTGGTTTGCTTTTGAAAATTTAAAACAATAACCTAAAACAAATAAATTATCACCTCCCTTAATTTTGATCTTATGCTGGTTCATTTTCTTCCCTCTTAGGCTTCAAATGTATTATATGCTGCTTTAAGACGCAAATCATTGTTTAACTCTGTTGATCGAATGCATTTACATGAAAGAGCTGAGAAGATTATTAAACTTAAAAAAAATGGCTTATCGAATGAACAGAAACAACGTCTTCAGAATGAAATGGATCCTCCTCACCAAGCACCAGAAGCAGTAGAAATCAGTGCAAGAGCTTATATAAGGTAAGTGAATTGAATACTTAAATGAGCGGTATTTTCCTTGAACAAAGTGTAAAAAACACCTGTTACTTTTTGTGTTAGTTCTAAACCAGGTTTAAAAAAAGTGTACATTAGGGATACTGAGGATGGAAAGGAATTCATGTCTGTTGAAGAAACAGTCATTGCACATTACAAATCGTTAGGATTTTTGTATGGTAAGTTTCTGAGTCTTGATTTTAATCTAATTTGTTTTCACTAACACAAGGAAAAAGTCTTAAGCTTTCTGGAAAGTTAAATGCCTAATGCAATGCAGTAAGAGTTGCCATAACTTGTTTCCAGGAATTCATGATGAGGGAAGTACCATCTCCTCTTTGTGTATGTTGTCTCTCTGGCATCATATTTATGATACAACAATACCGGGTGTTTTCCAAAGCCCTTTCCAAGAAAAACCACTAGATTGGGGCAAAAAAATATTTTATGAACTACGGAAGGATGCCATTGAGACCCGCCTTGCTAACATTTTGGCGCAAGATGTTCCAACTATTGCAAAAGAACTAAGTAACATTCGAGAAGAGAATTGTCTTAAAAGCAGTGTTATTAATTGGGATCGACTTGAGCGCTTAGATATTCAGGTAAATACCTAGAAATATTTCTAAAATCATTAAATAGTCAGATTCTTTCTAAAACTTTTGCAATCATCTGTCCAATTTATTTTGAATATTTTTTGGCAGAAATTTTTGGAGTGTGTGTCTATTCCAACCTTTGTTGCCATCACACGAAGACTTATTGAAGATTTTAAATGTAATAGAAGTGGTTTTCCAGATCTTGTAATTTGGAGCCCTCCTCAAAAGCAGGTGATCCACTGATTCCATCTTTTTTCTTTGCTGTAGACTGGGGTGATTGGGTTTATTTTAAACAGTTGTAATCTTTCATTGTGTTGCAGTGTTTGTTTGTTGAGGTGAAAAGTCCGAATGATGTGCTGTCTACAGTTCAGTGTCTTTGGCTTGACTTTCTAAAGAATTGTAATGCAAAAGCAGTTGTTGCTCACATTCGTGGTATGTTGTTCTAAAATTTTTAAGTTGAATTTCCCCCTAATATGTAAATTTGTGAACATCTTTAATGTAAATATGGCATCTGTTCCAGAATCGGGCTCAAAGACTACAGCTCAGAAGAAGTGAAGTGAACTGTACTCATTGCATATAAGACTTGATTTGTTCATGCACTCAATTTCAACAATATTCAATTCCTGTTGTTGTCAATGTTGTGTAGTCTTCGATCAATGTTACCTGTTTTGTAAATCATATATTTCTCCTGTTTTAGAAATATTTTTAAAATTATTAAAAGATCATGTTCTCTTAAAGTGACAAATTGATTTATTGTACATCTTTTAATCACTTCTTTGAACAAATACAGTACAAACGTTTGCATTATAAAATAGACATAGTGTTACCAGACTCCTTGTCATATGAACCCCACATTTGCATCTAAATGCATCAGTCCTTTCCATTTTGTGACTATGTCACAACTAACAGCAGTTATTGCACATCTGGTACTGATCTTTTGAAAGCTTCTAGACATAAAATTTAATAACAATCTTATCTCAAGTGGTACTTAGAGAGGACTTAAAGTGCAATTTTAAATGTAAATTTGAATTGAGGTAGATAAGTTCTAGAATTAAGAACAATCAGCAAAAATGACAGGGACAATGTTACTTTTGTTGTCTAACTGTTAACTGACAAAATATATAAACAATACTAGTATAGTGGTACAATTAGATGGCAAGTAATGCCTCATAAAGTGGTGATGGAGATTTAAAAGCCTTGTTTGGTTGGATGTTAATACAGCATGAACCACTCATAAAAGAAAATAATCTATTACATTTGATTTCAGTAAAAATAGTATGACAGCACATTATACGGCAATTTTGATCTACATTCATATTGAGTACTTTTGACAAGAATCACAACTGTCCCTGAGCAACTTACACAATAAACAGCACAGAAAATGGGAAGAATTAAAATTACCTTTCACAATGTTGCTTTGACTTCTTTTCCCATTGGTGAATTATGGAAGATCCTCTAAACATTTGCATTACAATCACAAGTGACACTTTATCAAGACATGCTTTAAAAAGAAAAGGACACATTTTCAACAAACCTTTATTTGACAGTAGTTTGAAGATGTGTGTGGGTCTGACAAACTTCAAATATAGTACACACATATTTTCAATCAATGAACAATATTATAACAAGTTGGAAACAAAGAAGATAATACACTTTGGTTTGAACATCTTAACAAAATAACTCTGGTTAAAATAAAAAAAGTTAAATTTTACAACAGGAAACTAAAAAAATATGGCTTCATGTTCAACAATAACGTGCTTGAGTTAAACTCACGCACAAATCAACTTATAGTATATAATTTTCTAGATAGAATAACACTTGACTAATAAACAAGTAAGCACTTGTTTAAATGGAAAGGATGAAGCCAATCCTAAAATATAATGTTCTACAAATTACTTGACTAGTAAGTAGTTCTTCTTTTCAATTGGAACATCCAGTTTTGAAATGAATTTTAAACATGTACAATAGCTGTCTTCTGAGCAATATGGCTAGGCTACTATCTCAGTACAAACAGATCATTAGATACAAAAACTAAGTGTACTGTTGTTTTCCACAGACAAAAGCAATAAGAACAGCAACAGCTGCTTCATATCTTTTGTCTACAAAAAACTGTTTGAAAGTTCTTACATTCAGAATAAATACTTGAAAGGCGGTCTGGGTTTATAATCACAACACAGCGAGCATAGATACCTAAACCTCAACACATTTTTGTATCAGCAGACTGTAAGCAGCAGGCAAATTACCTGGAAAATATTGAGTGATGCATTTACACCAATACATACATCAGTGGATAATTTTGGACGGATTAAAATATTAAGTAGGAACCACAATTTGATACAGCAGTTGTGAAAGCAACTATCACAATGTACAACAGATGTTATTACTTGGATGGGGCCTGTAAGTCATGTGCCATTTGAAAATTTCCTTTTTTGATGAGTTCTAACATATTTAACAATCCGCTAATAGTTGCCAACTCATAGAGCAGGGCTTGGCCTTCACCAACATGAGTCCAGAAATGTTGTTGCAAATCAGCAGCTCGATCAAACTTCGTGCCACATTTCACACAAGATAAATTTTGTAAGCTCTTCAAAGCTGAATCGTTGTACCTCAGGTTGGATAACTCTTTCTTTTGTTCAGATGAGATACCTTCAACCAATGGAAGTTTGAAATCCCCCTTCTGAAAATGTGAACTATAATGCTTTTGAAGGAGGCCTAATTTTACAAATGCTTTTCCACATACTAAACAAGTTTTGTCCTTGCCATGTGTACCAATGTGACGATTCAGGGTGCTACTCTGGGCAAAACTTTGACCACAGTCAGGACATTTAAAGGGTTTTTCTCCAGTATGCGTTCTTGCATGATCCTGCAAGTTATTTTTGTAATGGAAGCCTTTGTTGCAAATACTACAAATAAAAGGGCGGACACCTGTGTGAGTTCTTGAATGTCTTTTCAAAGAGCTACTATGAGAAAAGGATTTCCCACAGTCAGGACAGTTCAAGGGCAATCTTTGACTGCTTCCATTCTCAAGGCCTGCAAACAACAACAAACAAATTAATTTAATCTAATTGTACCCAATTGCTGAGTTAGATAATTTGGCACATAACAGTAAAATAAGTAGCATCTATCACTATTACCAGTGGAATGTAGTGCGGTAGGACAATTGTCGTGGGCACTGTCCTGAGGATCATCACAGTCACGAGTTTCATCTTCAATGTCAGCACTACCACGTTTCTGACGTAGATCTAGGAGCACACCATCCATCCTGGAATGACAGTTACAAATGTTAATCCTTGGTTTTATTTTTGGCCATACAATCAAAACTTAAATTACAAACAAAAAAAGATGAGTTTAGTGTAATTTAGGCAAGTGTGTAAACTAGAATTAAAGAACCATTCATTCAGTCAAAGATTCCCACTGTAATTGTCTTATACATTCAATTTCCTGACAAGAAGTTAATGTGAGGCATCAGGGAAGGCTACATTTTATCAATAGATTTTTGACTAAGATTAACAAGATGTAAGATTAATCGGACTCTGTGCTGACAATCATCGAGGGGTTCTGACTGAGGTGGAGACAAACCACATGGAATATTAGCCTCACGATTGAGAGATGAAATGAAACACTACTAACCCACTTGACCACATTTCGGGTTGATGTCCAACCCAGATTGGCAACTCGTCCTCCTGGGAATGGATCACTCTTCAAAGGCCAGGAACACTTCTTGTTATAGGTCATCAAATCAGCTCGCCTAATAATTTTGCAAAAATGTACTGCTTTCATAAATGAAAGGAAATTTTGATAAAGTAAAATCACACACTTGAAATTGTGCAGAAACTAAACATTTAATGACTACACGAAAAGTTTTCTGCTAGACTGAACCCAAAACAGAGGGTTTGCTCTACTGTGCACAATTGTCTCTTGTAGTGTTCCTCGACCGTCTTTGACCAGCGGCCTCTTGACTTGACTGTACCCTCCCCTCCCCTCATCCTCATCCTCATCCTCTCTACGCGCATTGGTGATTGTGGTTACCGGTTGCGGAAAAACACAAATGCCAATTTTTTCGTGACGTTATTTCGTTTTTAACTACGTACCAATATGATTGAGGTAATTGTGTGTTCATCAAAATCTAGAATATATATCTATCAATTTTATGTGCCTGCGTTATTGTTTTTCAAAAATGTTTGAACTCTTTTTGAGGTTATCTTATTGTTGTTTACATTCCGGAAAATGTTGAATTCTGTTTGTTTCTCAGGAGGTACAGAGACATTCGGTTCATACTCTAGTATTCCGTTCCCTTAAACGAACACACGATGTATTTATCAGCAACCAAGGCATGTTACCACCAGTCGATGAAACAGCGTAAGTACAATGCCATTGACTTAAAACTGTTATGTATGTTATCTGTTAGCGACTCAGACTTTTAATTGTCTCCTGTCAAATGTCTCCTTTTTAGAGAAAAAATTCGCAAAGCGGTGAAAGCTAGAGATACTTATGGTCTTGTCATGGATAGAGTAAGACAAAATGCCCTGAGACCTCCACAGCAAGCTATTATGAATGGAATGGCGGATAAACAGCCCCTAGCTATAACAGGTGTGCAACTTCGTTTTGACACTATGTTTGTTGATAAGGGGCAGGTTTTGACTTATTTTTACCTTTTTACTTAGATGGAAGTATACCAGGAGAGACACCAAATGTCCCTGTAGTAGGCACAGTGCCTGGAACCATGGCACTGACTACCTCTGGAGGTGGTGGACCTGGAACTCAAACTCTTGTACCTCGCAAGGCTCCAGCTATGCCAAAACCGAAGTGGCATCCTCCATGGAAATTGTACAGAGTCATATCTGGTCATTTGGGCTGGGTTCGCTGTGTGGCTGTTGAACCTGGCAATGAGTGGTTTGCTACAGGATCGAATGACAGAGTTATCAAGGTTATTATTATTATTATTATTAATGTTATTATTATTATTATTCCATACATTAGCATTATTCACATACCACTTTAGTTCATATTTAAAACATCAAATCCTTTTCTAATATATGCATACACCATTTATTTTAATTTTCCAGATTTGGGATCTGGCCAGCGGAAGGTTAAAGGTTTCTCTAACTGGCCATATTAGTAATGTTCGTGGCCTTGCTGTAAGTTCACGACATCCTTACCTATTCAGTTGCGGTGAAGATAGACAGGTCAAGTGTTGGGACCTAGAGTATAACAAGGTAAGTCTTTCACCTTAAAGGGAGATTTACAATCGGAATGCAGCAAGCGTATCTTCAACGCCAGTGTTAAATTAACACTAGGGAAATGGTCAGAACAGGGTGAGGGGGGAGTGGAAGCGGATCTTAGAAGCATTGTTTTAACGCCAGCGGCAGAACCACTCTTGCTGCATTGCTGCAGGGAATTAAATACAATTTAAGAAATGTATAGAAGAAATACTCATTTTATTCCTTCTGCTTGTAATATAGGTCATCCGTCACTACCACGGGCACCTTAGTGCAGTCTACTCACTTGCTCTTCATCCAACAATAGATGTACTGATAACTGCTGGTCGAGATTATACAGCTCGTGTGTGGGACATGAGAACAAAAGCAAACGTGCATACTCTTGTAGGGCACTCAAATACCATTGCCAGTGTCATAAGTCAAGTTGCAGAACCACAGGTACGGGGAGATTTTGTTGCCTTCAAAGCTTGTCTTCAAAAATAAAATATGCAATGCAATACATTTTATGATGTGTGTGGGGTAGGTTGTCACAGGAAGCCATGACTGTACCATTCGCCTGTGGGATCTTGCTGCAGGAAAATCAAGGTGTACTTTAACAAATCACAAAAAGAGTGTCCGGTCTGTTGTGTTCCATCCAAGTCTGTAAGTAGTATCTGTTTTTTTGTTTGTTTTTTTAAATTGTTTTTCAATTAGTGTTTAGTTTCCTAATATGTTAGTTTCTGGCAGGTATATGTTTGCATCAGCATCTCCTGATAATATTAAACAATGGATGTGTCCAGATGGGAAGTTCACTCAAAACCTCTCTGGACACAATGCCATAGTAAATTGTCTAGCTGTGAATCCTGATGGTGTTCTTGTGTCTGGAGGCGACAATGGCACATTGCACTGTTGGGATTGGAGAACTGGTTACAACTTCCAGAGATTACAGGTATGGGTTAAATTTTTTTAATGGGAAATACTCAAGTATACCTACCTAGGCTATGTTATTAAGAAAAAAAAGTATTGATGTGCTTGTTTTCTCATTAGGCACCAGTCCAACCTGGATCTATGGACAATGAGTCAGGAATATTTGCAATGACTTTTGATCAGTCAGGTAGTCGACTTATCACAACTGAAGCAGACAAAACTATTAAAATTTATAGAGAAGATGATACAGCTGTAAGTATATTAACTTCAAATGTTATTCATTGGTCCCCTATAATTTTTAAAACAAGCTCTTGTAATAAGCTGTTTTTTCTTTATTCCATTCAGACTGAAGAGAGTCATCCAATAAACTGGCGCCCTGAAATTTTGAAACGGAAGAAGTATTAAGGTCTAAGAGGTGCTTCTCCATGTATATTAATGTAAAATAATAAGTATGGATATTGCCTTGAATCGTGCGCTTAAAGATGAAAAATAAATCCTCCCAATTACAACACTTCAATTAAGAAATTTTTTTTTTTTTGTGGTCTTTGTGTGTAACTAATACATATGTACATTTTAAGGGCACACAATTATAAGTTAACTGATTATTCTTAAAATAAATTAGAAAATGTTGAAGGAATGTTATCATATTTCATCCAAGTCAAATTCTTCTTCGGGGAAATCTCCAACAGTTACATTGACAACTCTAGTAAACCCTCCATATTTAGGAGGACATTCAAAGTATTTCTTTCCATCCACACTGAAAATATAAACACAATGGGTCAGCCTTAAGTTGCTTACAAAGAAATCAGCTCTGCTCTGTTTTTTAAACATAAGTATGTACCTCCCATCATTTTTGCCAAGGGGCTCATCATATTTGACACCAACCCACAATCCGTTTTTGCCCTCCATTTCACCTGAAGAGCAACAAGTTGAGATTAAATACATTCCTTATTTTCTCATGGTCCACACATCAGCTACAGCATCCAACTCCAACTCACCAACAAACATCACAGTGGCTCGTCTCACAGGAGCACCGGCAACTTTAACTTCACAACGATTTCCTACATTTATTTCCTTTGCTGCTCTTTCCTCTGCTTCTTTCTCTGCTCTCTTAGCTTCTGCTATCTTTTTTTGTTCTTCTTCATTATACTTCCCTAATTTGTTCCTTTCCAGAAAATCCCTGACAGTTCCTGGAGAGAGAATAAGTGCGAATTAGAACACAAAAAATGGGTTTAGTGATAAGTAGATATCATAATGCGTTACCTGTCTTTTTAGCATATTCCTCTGGAGTAAGGTCAAACTTTTCAACATCTGTTGGTATACTCCTTAACACAAAACTATCTACAACCTATAGAGTAATCAGCAAATTGTTTTAACACAAATATATTTTGATAATTAAGATAAAGTGTGACTTGAAAATACCCACATGAAGTCTCATTCCGTCATCTATTGGAAAAGACCCTAGCAGAGCATCATCATGGTCGAGGTTGCACACTAGTTTTTCAGAATCCTTTTCATAGACTTGAATTTTCATTGTTCCTGCACCTCCTCCTGTGATCAACTCCAATTTGGCCTTTGACAAAGATAGTACAATTGATCAGTCGAGGTGTCATGCAACATGATGAAACAAGTTCGAACACAAAAACAGCACAAAACTACGTCACAGTTTTAAGAGCAATTAATGTCAAAGTACTTGCTATTAAGATGCTTTGATAGGTAAGTTCCCATCATAACTCAAATGGTAGTTAAGGGATAGCACTAACCTTTAAATCACCAACTGTTATGCTTTTAAGAAATTTTCTCTGGCTGGAGACATCCGAGCCAAGAGAAGTTGATATCATAACATTGACAAAGTCTGAAGTGAGAACTTGATACATTTTACCGTCTATTTGCTCAAGATTACGGTTTGGAAAACTCAACAATGAGCTGTAGACTCTTGACAGACGGTAGGCCGGAATTTGAGTCAGCTATGCAAGCGCGGGCGGGACGCGGGGGCGGGGGGCGGGGCGGGTGCGCTCAGTGCCTTCTAAATGAGGCATTAAAAGCTTTAAGTAACTATTTCAAGAATCTTGTTCTTAAGAACCAAGTAAAATCTTAATCTAAATTAAAATTTTGAAGAAGTCAGTTGATTTGATTGATGGAACGAGGTGTTATTTTTCAACTGTTATGTATTATCGCTGATCACCTCTTCAACTGTCACATTTCAAACAGAGCCATTCATACGCGCGTGGAAAGTGGAACTTCCCCCCACTGGATCCGCGCCAGTCCGAGCTCTATCTAGGCCCCAAAGTGCCGAAAGCTAGACGAAGTGAGTATGAGGCAATTGTTTGTCATTCCACATATGTAAACTAGGTAGTCTTTTATGAGCACGATTCCTGCTTTTGGTGTCAAACACCCATCCCGGTTGCAGCGCTACCCAGGCAAAGGAATAAAACGCACGCAAGGCAACCAAAATGAGGCTATGCATTTAACATGAGGCCACACCTCTGAAACAATATCATCGCAAACATTTCTCTCTGGGGTTAAACATATGATAAGAGCAGGCAAAATGGAAAGCTAACAATGCGACAGCATTTGTGTGTCTTTTACAGGTCTTTTATTTAAAATAAAAATGATATTACAGATTTATTTCCATAAAAAAACAGTTAAAATAGAAAACGTTAACGGTTTCCAGCGGGCCGCTGAGCAATGTAACTGGCAATAGCAGGAGTAGATTCGACTTTCTTGACTAAGTCTTGTAGTAGAGGATAACCCTCCAAGAAGTCCTTTTGCATAATGTACTTATAGTATTTTAAGGGTGCAACAAAGTAAACGTCCGCCCACGTCATCTGGAAGTTAAATACAATTAATCAAAATAGAGGTACATATCGGCTGTTTCATAGCAGACACTGCATATAGTGTTGGGGGTTTGCATTCTCCCTGACTCTAGGCTCTAGGAGCCATCCCCGAGAACGCCATGGTAAAATGCGTATTTTTAGCTGCGGCGATGTGTGTAAAAATGCACATGAACGGTGCGTGATGCATTGGTGACGCTTTCAAAACGCATGCAGCATTAGATGGGCATTACTCGCAATGTGTCACCTCTTATGTGTATTTGAAGCATTTCGGGGGGGGGGGGGGGGGGGGCAACCCCACAACACTGTGATGTCTGTTGTGAAACACTGGGTACATGTAGGTGTGGTACAAGTACCGCAGTTTTACCTTAAAATTGCCTACGTCTTACCTTGCCATTGACGAGGAATCCATTGTTTTCCTTCACAATTTGTTCAAACCGGCTTAAGTAGAAAGGCAATTCGTCCTTCAGCTGGATCAACTTTGCTCCCTTACTTTCAGGAATAGGGTCATTAAACCATCCACCAACCTCTGTAGATGGAGAAATAGACCAAACATTAAATAAAGTGAAAATAATGTTTCTCTGATGAGCTGCCTGGGGTACGGTGCACCCTCTCATTGCGGCGCCTCGTAATCCGGCGCATTTCACACGCTGGTACTGTCCTCGCCAAGTTCAATATATACCGCCATTTGGAAACTATTCTAGATATGCCGCTTCCGACGTGCTCCCCTGTGCCATAAATGCTTAGTCTCGCACAGCACGAACCGAGGGGTCCCCCACTCGCCAACTCGTTGTACACGACGAAAAATACTCGCAAGATACGCGGCAACTCGCGACAACTCACGAAAAAATCGAGAAATACTCGCTAAATACTCGCGGATACTCGCCATTACTCGCATAAACTCGCGGATGCTCTCTAATACTCTCGAATACTCGCGGAGACTAACGCAACTCGTTGTACACCCACTTGGAGAGTGGAGGACCCCTCGGTGTACGGTGTGTCGTGGCCGGCCTATCCTCATCGGCGACGCCCTTTCTTCTCGTTATTACTGTACCGGGATGTAGTGTACGGTCGGCTTGCCTGTATCGTCGCTCACCGAGGCGCCTTACGGCCCCATGCGAGTATGCAATCCGCCCGCACGCCTTTCATCCGGTGCAGTGTGGCGTGCATCCAGTCCCTCTTGCCCTCAGCGCCTGCAAGCCAGTGCGTAGGCAACCCATCGAGCTACCGCGTATTATCCCGGACACCCAGTATAACAGGAAGAAAGAACGGTGCCGATATAGGCTACCCTGTAAACAATTCACTGTAAACCCAAGTATGTACATGGTACACTCTTCCTTGTGTGTACTTGAAAGCACACACAAGGAAGTGTGTGCCTGGCATGGCACACACTAGGAAGTGTCGTCGCCAAATCCTGGTGGAATTCCCTAAAAGCGTCTGACACATTTCGAACATGAACCGATCCGACGCGACGGGCGGGCTTGCGCGCTCAATGCGAGTTTTGGCGTGTTCTCTCGCGTTGTCGCCCACCAAACCATAGCCTTGGGCAAAGTTCACGGATGGGTCAGCGTGTAGGCAGCCCATACAATCCATAGGCCACTCCTCCTTCTGACAATTTGACTTAAATGTGCCTAAAACCTCACTTTGACGGAAGTCATGGAAGAGATCGACAGCCATATCAATTTGAAGGTTTTCAAGATCATCTTTTCCGGACAACCCAACTTGCTTAGCTAGGCACCTGCTGATCGCCGTAGATTGGGCATAAATCTTGCCGTCAACATCTAAAATTGGCATCTGTCCAAAGGGCATTTCTGCAAAGTAGAAGAAGTACATGTACATGTTGAAAAATGGAACCAACATGAAACAGTTTTTAAGATACTAACTTGTTTTAGCCTCAGCCCACTTGGCATCATCATAGCGGATATCTTCCCAGTCAAGATTGCCGTAGGCAAGCAGGAATCTGATGGGCTCACCAAGGGCAGTGACATCAAAGTAGTGAAGCTTGTATTTGGATGCTGTGGTTGCTGAAATCAAGTAGAGGAAAACCATGGTAAACGGCATGGCAAATTTTCAAATGACAGTCCACGCTTCACACCTAAATGATACGAGCTCATCAACTCGTCGCTCCTCAAGGAAAACGTCACGACGCGAGTCACGACGTCAATGTGATAATAACGCTTTCTTTGGGTTCATAGCCCAATGTGGACGGGGCGTTAATTTGTATCCATGAACACTTCAGACAGTCCCCTACTTTTCAAAGCATACGCAGATCAAACACAATGAAAGTCGAGTTTTGTCTTGCGAGAATTACGTTACGAACAGAGCCCCCAGGACACTATTTATTGTTGATGATACCTATCCGCGAAACTTCGGGATGATATCTTTGAATGAGCACAGATAAATGAATAAACACATAAGGATTTTTACTTTTAACATCACCAAATTTATTAAAGCACGCGAATCAACCGCTTCAAATTAAGAAGTGACTAAAATAACATTTACTTAATTACTTTTGCGAACACCAAATTTGTAGATCATGTTGTATCTGTACACCGAGCCTGGACGAAGAATTATCTTTGGAAAACGCCGAACCTTTAGAACACAAGGAGAAAACGTCTTGATGAGAACAAAACACAATGAGAAATGGAGTTTCAAATCGACATTAATTTGACGCCGAATTCGAAGATCCGCCGATTTTCTGGACAAAATCGAGTTGATTTGGCCTCGATTGACATTAATCGGTCATTAATCGATAGGCCTATCGCATTCTCAGACTGGGACAGTGATCCGAGAAACCTCAGAAGTGCCAATGCACTTAAATGCGGCAATTCGCGTATAAAAATGCGCGGAAAAGGTAATACATTTTTAGCGCATTGAATGTCGAGGGGGTAATCACTCCATGAAAATGCGTACACCTGAACTTTTCACTTTTCCACTTTCATTCTTTTTTTCACCGTTTTACAACGTTTACTTCATTTCTATGCCTATATCTCCTCTATTTTATTCATTTTTGATCTGATCAACGCACGATAAGTCACTTTTGTCCACATTTTCTTTCAGTTTTCATCACTTTCAGTCAACTTTTTGTCACTTTCACTTTCACTTTTAAAGAAATGTGTACACCTACTTTCTGTAGTGATTACCCCCTCGTTGAATGTGCGTCGAAAATGTGTTGCCTAATATGTGCGTTTTAATGCGTATGACCAGCGATCGGCGCTAATAAGCAAGCCGTTGGTTTTACTTACATTATGTACGGCGTTGGGGAAGTACTGCGGCTCAAGGGTGAACCCGCCGTGTCTTCCGTAAGTCGCCCCTTGTTTTCCACTCGTGCTGACAGAAAGGAACAAAAGAACATGAATATAACCACTCATCGAAATAAATCCGAGAAGTAATTCATATAAGACGTACTCCGGTAGCTTGCCACACGTATAAAGGTGAAGGCTGGGCTGATCGGAGTAGACCTCCAGGGTCCTTCCAGAAGGCTCGTGTATCGCACTGCGAAAAGGTATTAGAGTAAGAAATTTATCCGACACTTGGTGTGACACGAATGTCGTTGTCGTTATTTCCGCAGGCGTTATACCCGGCCGAGTAGACGAGGTCGTCGGGTCGCTCGACCCCTCTGGTCACGACGAAGCTTCGGTCGAAGTCTGTGTTCTGGAGCACGTCCCCCAGCAGCCTGGGCGAGCGCAGGTCCATTGGTGTTCCCTCGACGTGCGGCATCTCACCTAAGAAGGAGTTGGGTTGAGGCGCTCAATGGATAATGATGTGTATTTTTTGGACGGGGGAGGGGGTGGGGGCTGAAATAAGGGCTGTAAAGCACCCAAACTGCTGTAATGCTCAACCTGTACGGAGGTATCAAACGTCAAAGTGGTATTCTCGTGTTTCAGACCCTCTGGACTGGAACCTCCCTTGGCCACGTGCCCTCCTTATCAACTGCTGCCCTCACCAGTAGCCACCAGTCCGTCGTCCACTGCAATGTAGCGGTCCGAATTGAGGGTGAGTCGCGTCTTGTACACCTCCTGAGCGCCGGAGCCCTGCAGAAAGAGACGGGGGTGAAGCGATGACGGCTGCGACTTAACGTGCGAACATAGCCGAGTGCGTGGGCCGCATGCGCGGGGCGCGGGGTGTCGGGCGCTTACGTGACCGCCGAGGTTGAAGTAGGCGTGGTTGAGCATGGCGACGGGGGTGGGCTTGCTGCTCATGGCCTGCATGTTGATGTGCAGCCGGCTGTCCTCGGTGAGGCGGTACGTCACCTGCGCCGTGACCGCGCCGGGGAAGCCCTCGTCGCCATCCGGGGACTGCAGGGTGAAGGTGACGCCGTCTGGGTGCCGGGATCCGTGCCACACCGCCTGCACGGAAAACGGACACAAAATTTTAGGCTTACGCATGTGCCAGGACTTGAGGCTACGAGTTTCACCATAGCCCTCCTTTCGCACTGACCAGGTCCCAGCCCTTGAGCCCTCCGTGCAGGGTATTGCGGCCCTCGTTGGGGTACAGTGTGTATTCCTTTGAGTCGAGAGTGAAGCTGGCATTGGCGAGTCGGTTGGCCACTCGGCCTACCGTGCCGCCGAAGTTGGGATTCTGCGGACTGAGGTACCCTGGAACACGTTGACATAGCCAGGGTCAGTCCCTACACTGTTAAGACCTTACACAAATCCATTATTCTCAACTCAAGTCAGATTCGTAAAAACGTACCCCACTTTCAACATAACAAGTTATGTTCCCGCTCCGGACTAGTCCCGGCCCACTCACCATAGGGGGTGTCGAAGCCCAGGACGACGTCTGCCAGGTTGCCGTTCCTGTCCGGCGTGCGGACGCTCTGCAGCGCAGCGCCCACCGAGATGACCTGCGCCGTTACCCTGCCGTTGCTGAGCGTGAACCTCTGCACCGGCGTGTCGCCGACGTGACCAAACGCATCCTCCGTGACGGTCACACCATTCCCAGGGAGGACGTCGTCCCAGTCCAGTTTGAAGCTGTGTCAAAACACGACGAAATCAATAGAGACTCTTGGGCGATAGTTCAAGCGATAGGCAGTAGGCCCGGCCCGCGGCTGGCCGTGGCCCTTTGGCTGCCCGACCGCCCGGCCCGGGGCCCCCGCGCCTGGGAGGCTCACGACCGCACGCACTCCGCGGCTTGACGGGATGCAGCCCTCTCAAGCCACACACACAGTTACAGTACGTCCTTATCTTTGAATAATGGAATTGAATCAGGCACGGTGTAAGGGGGTGGCGGGGGCTGGGGGCAGCGGCTCTAGTAAGCCCCCTGAAAGGTAGGCAATTCATACCACAGAAACCCTGTAAGTAGGCAACCCACGGTTAACCGCCCCCCGCTGTCACCCGGACCTTATACCGTGCCTGAATTGAATGCGTTTTAATAATCGCATTTCATCGGAACGTTTATTTACTTATGGCAAATTTTGTTCGAGATTTAAATTTCGCTTAATAAAATGCGCACCTGTCCACCATTGTGCTTGTGCTTGTGGCGTTAAACTGCCTCGAGCTGCCACCCTGGAAAAAACATGGAAAAACATTATTAGGAAAAGAAAAAGAAACGAGATATTTTCCGATCTAGTATTGACATTATGACTAGCGCTCTTGTCCCAATAATGAAGGGTGTGGAAAGGTTATTATTGTTTCGATCTAGGTCGGTTTACTCTTACAGATTCCACGGGGGACACATTAGACGAATTCAGACACGACCAAACGTAGACAAATTTCGTCAAAACATTGACGTAATTTTGACCTACGTCGATTTGACTGCAAGCTGGCGATGCCAAAAACGTGCGCGCTCACACACACGCCCCCTCTCCCCATAACACAGTACTTACACGAAAGCGCGTGGAATTATAAATTGGCACCTTCTTAATCCCTAGAACCTAGTGCTGGACGGATTGCACTCGATGTGACACGACGAACGACAACGTTTGAATGACGATATCACGGATGTGCCGAAAGAAAGTGGCAGAAATAGTGATATGGAGTGGAGGGCGGAGGGAAGGGTCAAACCATGAGATAGCAGAGGCAAGGAGAAAGCGTTATCGGCATTCTGTTGTGCTGAAATGGCCAGTGGTGTGGGCGTGCGCTCTAGTAGTGAAAGCATTGACAACTGATCAATCATGATTAGTCCAAACAACAGTGAACCGACTGTCGAAGAAGATTTCGGATTGCAGCTTATCAACATCGCTATTCCCGACAGCTTTTGGCTAGTGTCACTGACACGGGTGGGCACGAAATTAAGCGGTGCTGAATAAATGCAGCTGCAAAATTAAAGTGGCTTCTCCTACCAGCGGCGCTTTGCCAGTCAAAACGATGTGAAATAGGGTCATTTCATTTTGACGTTTAGACGTCCTAGGACTAGGCTTGGAGGGGGGGGGGGGGCATACGATAGTGCCAAGTCCCGAAACCCAGGTGTAATTGTGCCTGGCCGAACATGCTTTTTGCAAAATCCTCGTTGGACAATGGCAAGGTCGGGTCGGAGCCTCGTGCAGATGGAGTAACGCTGACGGTGAGCTCACTGCTCGTACTTTCAGCATCAGATAAAGGAAGTTTGTTAAAGGTGAAATCCTCACGTCAGCTGATAACACATTTCAGCGCATTTGACACGTTGCCCGAGAGCGAGGCCGCCATGCGGGGCTTCTGTTCCGCACACCTCCTCACTTACGCGACGAGCGATGTCAGGCGAACACAAGCAGCATGTTCACATTGCAGCACCAGGTCGGTTAATACTACACGTTAATCCTCTTATGTATTAATGTGTCATGAACTATTGGGAAATCTATCCTCTGGCTACTAAGGGGCATACACAGCTATAATGTTAAAATTTCAGACCATAGGCTACCGACACATTTCTACGTAACTTTTACAGCAATCTTGTCACCAGCAAGAGGGGAGAAAGTTTCTCATATGGACATTTTAAAACGTCAAAACTTTAATAGTAAAACAGAGAAGTCCTTTATAATATCTTACCCAGTAAGACGTTGACGTCAATTTGACGTCAAAGGTCTAAACGACGTCGATTTTTTAAAATCATAAGTATCTAAACGACGTCTATTCGACGTCTATTCGACGTCTACGTCGAAGACTTCTCACTAGGTAGCATAAGGTACCGTACCATAGGAAATGCACAAAATTAGTTGAGTCGCTTGGCGGGTATACTTTGGCTTAATTTGTGCGGGATATCATGATGGTTTTACGATGTTGGCACAACACGTCTTTAATCGATGCCAATTAGACAAGACATTTTCGTGTAAACGACGTGAACATACTTGACGGTATCCCTTACGCGCCCAGCCGCCAGGTTCGGCGTGCGCCATTTCCAGACGATGCTCATGGCGGGCGGGTCCTTTACCATCTACATGCTGCGGGTCAATCTCAGCGTCGCCATTGTGGGCATGACCGGAATGGACTCGCCCAGCAACGTGACCTCGAACGCAACCGAAACAGGCCAGGAAAAGGTTGGTGAGCGGGGGCGGTACATTTCCCCCAGAACCTCTAGGGCACCGGTGTGCTTCACTTCAAATAATCTGGTCTGTATGTCTATGCTTTTTCTATTTTTAGGCGCGCGTGTACGACTGGGATGAAACGACGCAGGGCTTGGTCCTCAGCTCCTTCTTCTGGGGCTACATGATCACACAGGTATGGATGTGGGGCCAACTTCATCTCGGAAAACATACGCCTTGTCTGTCAGTTCGACAGATAAAACCACTCCTGAAACATAAACTGGGGACGCTGTCGGTTGGCAGATTCCCGCAGGCGTGCTGACGCAGAGGTTTGGCGGCCACCGGATTCTCACCTGGGCAATGTTTTCCACCAGCGTGCTTTCGATGCTCCTGCCTCCCTGCGCCTACCTCGGCGGCTGGAAGCTCGTCTGCGCCAATAGGATGCTGCAAGGAGTCACGCAGGTACGTGTATGGACCGGGGTAGCTCCCGATAGCGCTCTGGGCCGGTGTCACTCTCCCCCTGCTCATCCTTGCAGGGGTTCGTCTACCCGTCGATGTTCACAATGATGGGGCTGTGGGCCCCCGCGCAGGAGCGGTCGACACTCGCAGGGATCATCCTCGGAGGTCAGTGAGGAGAGATCATCCAGAAAGTACACGTGTGCGTCATTAACAGTTAAGAAACTGCCAAGTTTGGCCTGAGAAAGCTCTCATAGCGCCTGATGGGTAGGCAAAATCTTTCCTGCAGTGTATGCGTGTACTGCAGGTTGGCCTACCCCCCGTCTCGCAGGCGTCAAGCTCTCGTAATTTGTCGCATGCATATCAGATAAAACTTTCTGATCGATTCCTAATCGTCTCCATTCTCGCCGGGCCGAGAAGCTGCCCCCCTGGCTGTTACGATTTACAGTTCCCTGTAAGGTGCCCCCACAACGCGGTGCGCCCGACCCATGCACCATGTGACTCTCGGTTCTAGCACCCGGCTTTGACCGATTTTTATGTTGAAATAGCTGAAATAAGTCTACTGAAACTCTGTTAAAAATTACAATAGTAAATAACTACAAAATGGACTGGTAATTTTGAAAACAGTGTAATCCTGCAGGCTGCGCTGTGCTTTATTCTGGAGGAAAGTTCTTTTCTAGCAATGTTAAGTACTCATCTCTCAAATACCAGTCGAACATATTTCGACCGTAGTACAGGAACTACAGAACGATCTGTATGAATTTTGTTTCTGGGTATAGAATTTTTAACAGTGAATCATATCGCTACATGGAAAGGCGCGCGGAGCAGGGCGCATCGACGATAGTAATCATGGCGCATGGCTCGTGGTGCATCGCATTGTGCTGGCACCTAAAGTTTGAAGGCTTCCCAACTATTGACTACTCTGTCTTGACACACACTCACCGGTGGGTCTGCAGCGCAAACCATGGGCCCCGTGGTTGCCACTCCACTGGCCGGGGTGCTGGTGAGCCTGTGTGGCTGGCCCTCTGTGTTCTACTCGTACGGCGCGTTCGGCGTCCTCTACTCGATGTTCGTGCTTCAGTTTGGGGCCGACTCACCCTTGGCGCACAAGACCATATCCGCCGAAGAGCGTGCCTACATCGTTACGTCACTGGGCGGGCCAAATCTAAAGGTGCGTCTGGAGGGAAGAGCAAGACGCGCAAGTATTCTAATATGTTGGTTGTCGGCTATCGAACTCACTGTTCTTGCCAATCAGTTGGGGGGGTTAAGGTTTCCAGTTGGGTGGTACAAGTTTTGACTACAATCAATTGAGTGCGGGGTGTTTTTGTATGCCTATCGACATTTTGAGCGTGACCACATTGTAACCACGCTGGCTCATTGTTGGTGCCCCCTGTGCGCCCTGACCTGGATCCTGACCTGCTGTGCCTGCTCGCAGGCGCCCACCCCGTGGAGAGCCATCCTCCGCAGCAGCCCAGCTTGGGCCGCCATCGCTACAATGGCCCTGCAGGGCGGCGTGTTCCTCGCCTTCCTCACCAAGATACCCACGTACCTTAGCACCGTCCTCAAGTTTGATATTAAAGAGGTAAACAACGGTCGACTGTGTCAGCATTGCGTGGGCGCGCTCTGTCCGCTGATTCGCTGCTCCTTCCCCGGTCTCAGAACGGCCTCCTGACAGCACTCCCCTACTTCGTGTCGTGGGCCCTGAGCTTCCCCTTCTCCTCTACATGCGACTGGCTTGTTAAGAGAGGCTCCATCAACCTCACGAATGCGAGGAAGATCTACAACTCTATTTGTTGGTTTTAATCTTAAATCAGTTTAATTTTTTACCCTAGTTACCACGCACCACTTTTACAGACTCGTTTTCTTATCCTACACAGCACACGTTGTTGGAGGAATGGCTATGCTCGCCCTTGGATTTTGTACCGACACTACCCTGTCTGTTATACTTCTGACAATTAGTATTGGCGTTATGTCTGCATCGTATCCCGGAGTCCAGGTAAAACTATATTCGGAGAAAGATCCTTACCAATGTGATGTCAAGAAATAATCCGTAATTTGATTCCTCACTTTCAACGACTTGTTTTTGTTTTAGTCCAACTTTATGGACTTGACGCCAAACTACTCCGGGACCATATTCAGCATCTCTAACTTCCTGAGCGCGTGCTGCGGTGTGGCAGGGCCCATTGTAATCAGCTGGATCGTCTCAGAGAAGGTGCGTTGCCGCTTACAGATGCAGACCATGCTTGTGCTGCCTTCAACGGCGGTTCACGCCAAACAATATTTTGTTGGTACTTCACCGCACTCGGGCGTGGGAGCGGGTTGCGAGGCCGGAGTAAACGTCGTGGTCAGTGACGGTAGACATACCCAACCAGAAAATGCCGCAGTGGTTCCGACGTAGCAGGTAGAACCAGAGGACCAAAAATATGTCGATCAGATCGATGATTTTTTTGACGATTCGACGTCGAACCGATGAATATCGATGCCACGCTGGGGTGGAGGGTAAAGTGAGGGTGGGTGGTGCCCCTACCGTCGCTACTGCGACACCTGAAAGGCAGACAATTTTTTGGTATAAAACCCCTATGTAAACTTATGGTGTTCGCAGGGCTCTGTGTCTCAGTGGCGGACAGTGTATTGCCTCCTGGCGGCAGTCATGTTTATCAGCAACCTGCATTTCGTGCTGTGCGGGAGCGCCAAAGTTCAACCGTGGAACAAGCCCACAGACAAGAAGAATAAAAGCAAGAGAGATGAAGAGGAGTTTCCAGAGGTTGGCAAGTAGCACTCCAAGTCCAAGTATTTAATTGTGGTTGTATACCTAGTCTGGTGTTGATTTCTTAGTTTGATTGCTGGTTTTGGCTCAGTAAAAGTGTCAGCCAGATGAGGCCAGCTTCTTAAAAAATGTCTGAGCAAACGTTCAATATCATTAACGGTCGTTAATTTTTGCAGGTGAAAAGCTAGCAAGTTTATCGTGAGGCATACGTCTAACGGAAGTTTGAGCTTTTATCTGAGATTCGGAACAGTACGAGACTGTGTGTGTGTGTGTGCGTGAGAGAGAGAGAGAGAGAGAGAGAGAGAGAGAGAGAGAGAGAGATGTGGGGGCGATAAATAGGGCTTCAACCTCTGCGACGCGAGCCCGGTGCAAGAGCGTACTCACATGAGATAAGAGACTGGTGTATTTATTACTTTAATGTGTATCTTATAAACTGCCTTTATTGTGTGTACACTGGCGAATAGGTGTGGAAATGTTCAACACCTGCTACGTAGGACACGTACTGTGCCGTGTGTCGGGGCCACGACACTACAGTATGTGGGTGTGCCTACGCTCCACCCAAGGCGCCACGGCCCCTTAGGTCGTTGCCCTGACACACGTTACTGGTCCTGTGCAAAACCGGGATGATCGCCACTTGTTCTCTAATAAAGAAGTTTAAGACGCAATTAAAACATGTTGGCCTACTGGATTGAAGATTTACTCACATTTTTAGTGATTTTTTTGAAGAGTAGCCCGTATATCAAATAATGATCAACCAATGTGGTATTATTTCAAGTAGTCTACGACAGTCATACTCCTGCGAAACTCACCAGCTCTGATTTTGCTAAGTAGTTTTCAAGCGTTCTTTGCTTTGTATGGGGGTAAATGACACTGAACTGCATAGCAATCATTCATTTTATTTTATACAAAAACTCGTCGTTTCTTATCAAAAACGTTTTTTCTCTTTTCAAAGAAAATTTCCACAACATATACATCAATATTTACACTGTTATACATTTGGCACTACAACATCTATTTCTTGGATTCAATGTCTCACCATAGTCTTAAAAACTCACTTTTCAGTTAGTAAGTTTTCGGAAGTGGAAAATGGGAGCGCGTATTTAGAGATAATGTGTTGCACTAGAAGTAAAACAAAACTTCGAAAAATAACAAAATTTGAATCTTAATTACAAAATAATAATAACAATAAACAACAACAAAAGCACCAAAGGCTGCAACATAGGTGCTCAGAGAGACAAGCCAAGAAAAAGCTTCTTTGATGTGGAGGTCATAATACAAAGACAATAATAGTTACTCTTAGTTTCATTAAAGCTCACAAAACAAAACGCGAAAGCTAAGACCGTTCTTCAGAGAGCTTTTATCACACTTCGTATTTACAGTATCAAAAATACAATCAGTCTGAAAAACATTTATACGGATCCTTATTATCTGTGTTTAAATTCTATTTTTTCTCGAATTCAGTAAGACATTTTCAGAACTCTCAAAACGACAAGACATTGGGAACATTTCTTTCATCACAACGGTAAGTCAGGATCGCTGAAGGACACGAGAGGGTACTTAACTTCTTTTCAAACGAGTAGCAAACTCACAAACACACTCACGCACTTAGGCAGAGCGTGTCTCACTATTGTTTTGGGTCTAGACAGTCGTTTGATAGATCATGGGCCCAAATAATAGTAATTGTCAGACCGACAAAGTTTCTGAACACACTTTCCACAGGGCCTATGCAAATCTTCGTCGGAAATGTTTGACAGAAATGATATCGGTACGTCGTGACGCCCGCATTTTTCATCGAAAAGTACGACGATTAAACATCGTATCGATATCGTTTCGACTATCGTTTCTCGCTAGACGTTGGCCGGGTGGGAGGACTTGACAACCAGCCTCACTGCAGAGAGCCCACCATGGGACCCAGGAGGTGGGTCTGGCCAAGAGGGGACCTGGCCACAGTCTTGTGTCTGGCCCACGGCTCCCGGGCGGTGGTGGTGGACAGAAGCGCCCGCTTGAGCCTCCTGGGCGCGCCGCCCGCGCTGGCTGCGGGGCAGTGACCCTCGTCGGCGGCGTCCTGGCAGTCGGGGTGGCCGTCGCACAACATGTGGAGGCCGATGCAGCGGCCGTCCAGGCACCTCAGCTCCTCGGCCGGGCAGGGCGACACTCCGCCTAGGGCTGCGGATGGGAGACGACTGTTCAGAGCAGAGGGTTGACGGACAGGGAGGGGAATGCCCAGCCAAAACAGGGTCATCCCAGGCAGCGAAGAAAAAAATGGCTTCGATATTTCGCCTCTTTGACTAAAGATATAGTTTTTTTTTAAAAAATATTCGCCAACAGTAGTAACCGCGATTGGAAAGTGCACGCGTGACAAAGAAACAAAAACATTAAAGGAGCAAATGACTTGAAAAGAAACTCACAAAATTTGAAAACTGTAATGCAATTTAGATCATTATTTAAATCTATGTGCACTTCTGATAGTGTCATGACGGCGTGCTTTTTGATGTTCTTAGGAAAGAGTTGCAAAGATTTTACCCAGCCACCAACCGCACACATCAGCCATACAGGTTGCGACACACAGGTCAAGTTTTTGGTCATCGTCTCTCTTGGTCCAGAATGGTCGCAAGGCGTCCGGCCTGGGGCGTCCGACAGTCGTCCAAATAGTTCGATCAGAGAGCTGCCTCACCGTGACTTACAAAGCTGCAGGTCGTATGAAAAGCGTTCGACCACACTAGACAGGTGAAAACAAAAGGTGCTCAGGAAGTAATTATTTACAACATGACATTATGGCCGGCTAAGCTACACTGTGCATGAAGCTGTTGCCTTGTAGAGGCAATGACAAACAAAAAGCCCTGGCTAAAAAAGCAATGATACAACTTTTAGTTTTTAAAATGAAGGGTGCCAATGATGTTCTTTAATAAATTAACACAGAAAAAGCGACCGAACACCAGCTGTACGTACCGGGCAAGCGCTGGAGGGCGCTGGGTCGGCCGTAGTTAGGCGCTTATACTCTCACTAGAGTTGCGTTAATGGCTGGAACCGCATCTGTAAACAGCGTGGATCGGAATATTTCGAAAGAAAATATGGGGGTATTAGTATTTTTTGTATCCGCCTTAGAACCAGAAGAAGGTAAGATGCCGCGGCGAGAAGACACATCACAGCTGGTGACACACAAGTGCTGCTGGGGAACTAGTCGAATGTCCGTCATGTCAAAGGCGCCAAACCACAACTCCCGCGCGTGCGTGGATGTCCCGGGCACGGCCCCAGGAGCTTATACACCACGCCCTACAAGGGCTTCAACAAGAAGAACCTGAAGGTCTACCAGAGGATCCCTAGTACAGCCCCCTAAAAGACTTATCCATCTGCTCTCACGGAACTGTACTAGGGCTTGCAGGTATGGGTCCGAGTCCTGGACCTGGGCGGCTTCATGCACCTCGCCCTCCCCCTGGGACGGGGTCCTGGGCCGCGGCCCTGGGTGTCCTGCACCTTACGCACCTGCTCCGCCCGTGTTGGCCGCGCAGCCGACCTCGTCCGAGCCGTCGGCGCAGTCCTGGCGGCCGTCGCACCGCAGCAGCGCGCGGACGCAGCTCACGCCCGTGGGGCCGGCCGACGCACTGGACGCGCACCTGCCGACAAGAACCTGGTCAACACCGCAGGCCGCGGGCTCGTGCTTGCCTGACGCGCTTCTCTCGTCCACACATGCAGCGCCTTTCGAACTCCGAATATCCTTTTGACGTTCAAAGAGTCCCGCTCTGAGACCCATGCATCGCGTTGCGTAGGCCGAGACTTACCGGAAGTGGTCGTCCGGACACACGGAGGTGCAGTTCCGCTCGTCGGCACCGCCCGCGCAGTCGGCCCTGCCGTCGCAAAGCCACCGCTGCGGGACGCAGGTGCCGTCGCCGCAGCTGAACTCACGAGGCAGGCAGCTGCCGGTGCCGGCGCTCAGGTCCAGGCACTCCTCGCCGTGTGGGGCGTCTGGGTAGTGGCTGCAATCGAACACCCGCGACAGATCCAGGTTGTTGAGGATGAAGTCCTGGCAGTCCTCGGCGACAGCTGTGCGAGAGGGCGATCAGCAGAGTTAGATTGCCGCTGGGTTTCTCTCCCTAAAGTCCTAGATTCTCATCGCCGCTCCGTTGAGCCGCTGAGCTGGCGTGCACCCACCTCTGCACAGGCGCCTGCAGGGCCGTCGGGGCCTGGCCGTCCTGAGGACACACTCGGGCTCGAGCAGTGGGCACAGGAACGCCCTGACGCGCGCCGAGCAGCCCGACTGCGCCACCAGCTCAAAGTAGGGCATCGCGGCGCTCAGGTCGGCGGCCGTGCGGAGCGCGGGGACCTGCGGCACGGAGGGCCGCGCCAGCGTCAGGTCGTAAGGCAGCAGCCCCCGGCACAGCGGCAGCCGCGGGGACTCGCAGTCGTCTGCAGGCAAACACACATGATGAGGAGGCGAGCTCGCGCCGGCCGGGCAGGCAGCCCACCCGCCACGGCCAGTCGCGCACTCGGGCCATGCCGCGAAGGCAGCGCGAGCGCGATCCACCCTCGTCTTGTGGACCTACCGTCGGCGGGGGCCTCCGGGGACGGCGTGGGCGACGGGGTGACTCGGTGCACGAGGGAGAGCCGGGGTGGCAGCGTGGGCGACACAACGGGCACGGGCGCCCTTGTGGACGGGGTGGGCGACGGGCTGCTGGCCACCGGCCACTGGTCGCCCGCCTGCACATACGAGAGAAAATAAAGGTTGCACAGTGTCGCTGGGAGGTACAGTTGTCTTCGAGTTTTTAAGGAAGTGCATTAATCTAGAAGAGCATATGTCACGCAGTCAACTTCTGATGTAAATATCTGTTAGAACTGCTAACAAGATAGTACCGTAAACAACAAAAGGGAGACCTATATGCGCCAACGCGCATTTTTGGCTGCTTTTAGACGGGACACAAAATACTGATTCTGAAGTAAAGCAACAAAAAAACGCTGAGACCAGTGACCCTCCTACCTGCGTGTCGCCATATCGGTGGCCGTTGTGCACCTTGGGCGGCGCGGGCGACGAGCTCCACAGGCTGAGGATGGACTCGAGGAACTCGGGCAGCGTCTGCTCCGTGTCGCCCTCGTACTCGGCGTCGCCGTCGTCGCCCTCGATCACGAGCTCGTCCGTGTCGTACACCATCTCCTCGTCGTCCTGCGGATACGACGCGCACCGTTATTACGTACGCCGTCGACAACGACATACACACACACACGCGGGGGCGTTGGCGTTCTGGTCTGACGTCACCCTGTTTGTGTTCCCCGGGCCTCTTTCCCTTAGGAAGAGGCATATGTGCGCCATTGTGCGAGCCGCGGCGCCATAAGCACGCCATGACCCATGAGAACCAGGGCCCGCGCCGCAACGAGAAGAGATTAGTTAAGGCCGCTCGCTTACGTCAGGTTTGGACGCGGCTCGGGTCTGGTTCACCGCCGCCTGGGAAACGGCGGCGCCGGCGTCAACGGCGGCGCTGCTCGCGTTTGCGACAGGGGCGGCGCCCGGGGAGGCCGGGGAGGGCGCCGAGGAGGGCGCCGCGGTGCTGCTGGCGGCCGCTGTGGAAGAGGCGCCGTCCGCCTCGGGGGGCGAAGCTGGTCCGCCGGGGGGCTCTGCAATTTCGATCAGGAGACGTGTTTAGCCATCACTTAGCGGGCGCCTCTGACATACTGAGAAAAAGTGCAGGGCTGCTCTTCGCACTTACCCGATGGACGCGGGGGGCCGCCTCGTCTGCCGCCCTCATCGTCGTCGTCGTCCTCGTAGTCGTCGTGCTGCTGGCCGACCGGCATCTCGTCCGCCGTGCTCCAGTCACCTGCACGCCGAAAATAACAGCAGTTTAGCCCACAAATTTTACGTAACCACGGGCTAAGTAGACAGTTAATATGTTTGTAGTAAATTACAGAGGAAGTGGGCCGTGATAGCGCTGCCCCCATGGCTCGGGCCAGGGTGGACTCCACGGCCAAAATAAGCGTCACATTAGAAAGGTATGCAACAAAATCGTATGTAGCACCGTGAGCCAAGTCGGGACAAATATCTCATGCGTTCAAAAGCACAATAATTTTGCTTGAATGGCGGACCCTTGACCGTAATAAAAATATATGCAGCAGAACGAGTCAACCGAATCCAAAGACCATCTCGATTTTTCACCAATTAAATTATAACAATTAACAAAGGAGATAAATTCGGGTTCAAACTAATGAATTCAGGTGGTCAATTCTGCACGCGTGCAAAACAACAATAATAATAATTGACTGTTAGTATAGCTAGAGAACGTGTATTATGGGCACACTCGGGCACACCTTTTTTCTCTTAGCTGCTGATAAATTATCAAGAGACTTGATAGTTTCCCCTATATTTGCGTGCACTCTGGACTTTACCAACCGCCCACCGCCGTATACCGCCGCCACCGCAGCGGGAGCCGCCGGACCACGCCAGACACCTATGGGCTGTAATTTCGGCGGGTATCGCTCCAGGAAGCCATTTATGGCGGAGCAGCCGAGTGAAATGAGTGAGGCTGCCGCTGCTGCTGCTGCGGCCGGGGCGGAGGGGCTTAACACACGGCGACCCCGCCTGTCGCGATTAGACTGCCAATCAATAGGCAGGCGTGGCGGCGGCGCGGCGCGCCCTCCCCGGCTCACCCACGCCGCGCCACGCGCCTCCCGGGTGCGGGCGCGCCGCGCCCCGCAAGTGTGCGGCGGAGCCCTTGACCTCGCCGCGGCCGCTGAACAGGACGCCGTCCAGTCAGGGCCGGCGGGTGCCGTATGGCGCGCCGGGTGCCTCCGCGCGCCGCCGCCGCCGCCACCACCGGCTGCTCCGGGTGCCGTATGCCTTGCGGTTGACACTCTCAGACAGATTGCGCTATAACTGCCTGTGGTACACGCGCGAGATGCGCGTGGAGACCGCGCAACGTCTCGCGCAACAGGATTCGCGATCTCCGCACATCAGGCAACGAAATTAAGGATTATTTTCAAACACCGAACTTTCCCTGCGTATACTTTGTTCGTTTTTGCACGTAAACTCGACAGACAACTATTACGGCAGAACAAAGAGGTGGTTTTGTCCCGTAGGCCAAGCTGTTGGTTCGCTACAAAGCCTGGGCGTGCCTGCAGCCTGCACTAAATCATTTTTATCATCATGCATTTCAAAGATACGCTTTGAAGTGTGCAAAATCACCTGCATCCTTCCCAATAATTTATTTGCAAAAATAAATTATTATTTCGGAAAGCCCCTTCATAGTGCGGCCGAGAGCCGCCGAGGCGAGGTCCATCCAAGGCGAGGTCCCGGCTGCCGCCGATACCCTACTGCGCCCCTCTTTGATGACCGGTAATGTGTCCCATAGTGTGCTCCGCGCGCACCCGCTGCGCTCTCACTCGGGCCTCGCACGGCGACACGCTGCAGGCAGTCCCGCCGCGCCACGCCGCGCCACGCTCCGCCCCGCCTCGCCACGCCACGCCACGCCGGGCAGATACCTGGCGATTAATAAGACACAGGAAGGACAATGGTATGCGTGCGGCGTGACCCTGGCCCCGCCCACGCTACCGTGCGGCCTGATCCAGAACGATCCTTCCGCCGCCGCCCTATCGATCAGGCCGCTTTTTTAAACTCTCGAAGGCGCCGCTTCCTGGCGCCGCGGGCGCAGCAGGCAGGCGGTCCGAAGGGGCGGCCCACAAAGGGCAGCGGCGAGCGCGGCGTGACGCGGCGGCGGCGCGCGCTATATTGGAAAGCCATTGAACATTCCCGGAGCACACGCTCCTCCTCCACGCAGAGCGCCCCCCCCCCTTTGCCACTCTGGCACTGCTCCAAGCTTTCCCCCGCTCGACCGGGTACCCGGTCTGCCCCAGCCGCTGCACAATCACCCGGATTAATTGCAGTTGTGTCCCTGTCCTCACCCTTTATCTCCCCCTCCCTGCTGCCCCCTCCGCCAGTTCTTCCTCCCGTAGATCACCCGCTGCCGGACCCTCTCGGCCTGCTCGTTGTCCTGGGTCCGATCCCCGACCTGTCACCGGCGGAGGCGTCCTCGGCCGGACCTCCTCCTCCACCCGCCGTGTTTGTGTTGAACAACAGTCCTATATAAAACAGTTCCGTTGTGTCCGATATTCGATCCGCGAGTGGGGCGCGCGCACGCGCGCAGCGTGTCCGGCAGGACGGGTAACGCACAACAAGGTACGGGACCCTCACGGCACCCGGCCGGCCGGGGGTAGACGGCTTAGGTTTATGGCCCTCAGCTGTGCCATACGCTGCAGACATAATTACTCGTACACGGCACGACCGGGCGGACAATGGGATATAAAGGGGGCGACGCCGCGGTATCAGTATCAACCCGTTCTGTCAGATGAGGTACGCTACCCCCGCGGCTGCCCTGCTGCATACGTAGCGCCTGCGGACGGTCGGATACACGACGCAGCATCCGCCACACAGCCGCCGCCTGTGGATGGTCGGGTAGGCAGTCCCGCCACACAGCCGCCGCCTGTGGATGGCCGGGTAGGCAGTCCCGCCACACAGCCGCCGCCTGTGGATGGTCGGGTAGGCAGTCCCGCCACACAGCCGCCGCCTGTGGATGGTCGGGTAGGCAGTCCCGCGACACAGCCGCCGCCTGTGGATGGTCGGGTAGGCAGTCCCGCCACACAGTCGCCGCCTGTGGATGGCCGGGTAGGCACTCCTGCCACACAGCGGCCGCCTGTGGATGGTCGGTTAGGCAACACCGCATCACACAACTGTTGGGCACGGTGGCCTATCCACAGGCGCTCTGCTGCACGTTGGGTGGTGCGGTAGAAGGGAGGAGTGTCCTTTCGCAGTCACTGTGAAAAATGCCGCCGTAAATTTACAAAAATTTTGCAAACTCGAATTATAATTTAAGTTGTAAATTTACGACAGCACATTTTTTACTCCCCAATGATTTGAAGTCGATACATACTGCATATAATTTAACGATTACAAATTGTACTTTTACAACTTGCGTCAAGGAAAATTTTCCTGTAAACCTACCTACTTTTTTCACAGTGGCGAGTGTGGTGTGCTTTGCACTTTAGAAATGTCGTTTTGTGGGTTGATGCGTCCCGCAGGCCCGCTAGGCCTGTTTTGTCTACCTGAGAATATGACACGTTATTTCTTGACATTAAATTCTTTCCGCTAAAAAGCAGTGGGGTTCTTCGATTGGTTCCTATGGTACAAAGTAAGCACGTGGGGGCAGACCTCAAATAAAAGTATCCCGATGATAAGAATAATGACCCACCCCCTGTAATTGTGATCGTCACGATACTCGAACAATAATAACAACTGTCGCCGCCGGAGAGGTCGGTAAGTTGATCTGGACGAGGTCGTGGTTGAGGCTGCTCATGCGGATCCAGCTGGTTTTGTTGTTTTTATTTTGTTTTATTTTGGAGCTGAAGCGCAGGGCTTTCGTTTCTCGCCACAATACATACGCGTATATGAATTGTATATGGTCAAATATTTACCTTTCTCCCTCTCTGGTATTTTAATAAAGTTTTTGTTTTCCAACAAAAATAAATGCGGTAGCACTGTCTCCTCCGTTTCGCCTGCGCCGTCCGCAGTCTCACAGTCTCCGTATCTATGCTGCTCATCTCCGCCGCCAGGACAAGGTCCGTCAGCCCCCCCCCCCCTCTCCATTCGGCCCGCCCCCTCGCCCGACTTGCCCGCCTCGCGCGCACACACACTGCGGTCACGACGCCCACCGCCGACAGATTTTTCGGTCGTGAATTATGATTTAAGTCTGGGGCGCTGGGGCACATGCATCGACCAAGGACGTCCCCCGGTAATGAGTGCGAGAGAGAGAGTGGGTGCAGTACGGCGAGCAGGGAGGAGGGCCACTCGGTCGCCGGACACAATGACCTCGGCAGTCGTGCTGGTTGACCTCGCCGCTCCCTGCCAGGCGACTTCCTCCCATCTTCATCCCCCTTCTGCTGCCATCAAGACGGGCTTGGAGAACACACCATCCACATGGTGGCAAATGTTAGAAGTCGGCTGCGCATTGCTGAGAACGCTTCTCAGAGCGCAGGAATCAGCCCATGTCCGGCCCGAGGTAGGTCCGCTCCGAGTCCGCTCTGGGTTCGCTCCGTGTCCGCTCCGTGTCCGCCCAGGGTCCGTGTCTGCAACGCTCCCCGCCCGAGCATCCGCATGTGTGACGCTCCGAGCTCCGGGCAAAACAATGTCTCCGACGTGCGGCCGACCCCGACAACACTCCTCGATCATGACTATCTGAAATCGAGAAAGGCGTTTCCCGGCGGGGAGGGGCCGGTGGGTGGGGTGGGTGGGGTATGTGCGGTAGGATGGGGCGGGGCAGGGCGGACCCGATCCCAAAGGGCCCGCCACCGGTCCCCTTGCATGAAGGGCCCCGCACGCCTGACGCAACGCCTAATGAAGTGAGCCGGGACATCAGACCGGCCGGCCGGTGCGCTGCAGCGCCGCCCGGACCATTTGGCAGCCGCAGTTGGCAGGACTGCCTGTCGTTCGCTGCTTACTGTTTGTTATATTGGTATCACTGAAATGCTGCTAAACTCCCATTTCGGAGGCTTGCAACCGGTCGGCGCGGCCGTTACCGAGCGCCATGCATACGATGCACGTCCGACTGATCGGAGTGTATGATTGTCGGAACACCGCTCTCGGGCTGGCACTCCCCGCGCGAGCTCCCGGGCCACCGGTCACCCCGCCGACAGCCCTCCTGACCCTCCAGCTCAGCGGGGGCCTGCGGGAGGCTGATGGTTCGGCGGAACGGCTGCACCACGGCAACTCATCAGTGGGGCTCTGTTGCTCTTAGGTCGGCCAACGTCAGTGTGCCCCCTCCTCTACTTCTCCCCCCTCCCTCTCTCGATCCTCCCCGGGAGCGCGCGCACGCGTGTGCTTCTTATTGGGATTCGTTTTGTGAAAGTGAATATGAAAATGATTCGCAGAATGGCATGAGCGGGCTGTGCTGGCTTGCTGTTTTGCATTTGACCGGCTGCAAGCTCGGTGGCCACCCCCAGCAGCAGCAGCCTGTCCCGGTGTACCGGTAACACACACACACTCTCACTCACTCTGTCTCTCTTTATTATTTTTTGCAGTGTCGCTACTCACCTGTGGGTGGCTCTTTACTCGCAACGACTTGACTAGTTCCCTGCGTCTCCGTCGCTTCCAGGCCTGAAACAAAAGGTTCGACATGCATACTTTAAAGAAGGGAAAATACATCAGGCTTGTTCTGTACCCATTTCCTTGAGTACGACTCTTTCTCTCCCCAAGTTCCCCTTTAGCTTACAGCCCTACGCAAAGAGCTTGTGTGTCCCTCTCTGTAGAGACACGACACATGCCACTTCCGGCCTTGGACCGGAAAGTGGACCGCTTGTGTTGGGCGTCTTCAGTGCGGCGTGCGCGGCGTCACCGACCGACCCACTGACATGCTGGAGGCTGCGCGGAGCACGAGGCTGCTGTCGAGACTGTCGAGTAGGGACGGGCGCGCTGGGTACTTCGCCACAGAGTACATCATAATATATCTCCCCTGGACCATAAGTAATTTTAGGAACCCTCTCTTAAACTCAGTGTTATGTACATGTATATTACATTAATGATCTCCTTGCTTTGCTCTTGAGATGTTTGTTACGACTAGCACATGGTCAGTAAAATGGAAAGCTGAAGCAATCATCATATGGCTAGCTCAGGGACAACCATAAAATGATGGGTGAGACAAGAATCTCCCGGTAAGCAGAACTAAATTTTAGTTCACACAACCATTTTCAATGTTGCTCCCTGCAGTTATCAAAACTGATATAGGGCGGTATTGTTCTTTTCTCCTCTGGCATTTCTTTACTGACTTTTCTCTTCACAGTCCGTTGGTGTGCGGTGCGGACCAGCGCTGCAACGGAGTGTTGCCGGCAACAACGGCAGCAAGAGCACTGCACTGCACCGCAGGTTTTAAAAGGCTTTACGGCCTTACTGAGGCACAGGTGAGCCACGGGCCACAGGTGCGGCGGTATGTAATTGCCTCAATCATACCGCTCGGGTTATAAACTGCCACATTCGATCCCTTTTTTTTCTCTCCCCTCTTTATGGAGAAGCAGCACCATCACCATCCCATTGTTAAAATGATGTCACTGCGCCGTGCGAAATCTTATTCAATCGACATGAAATGTTGGTGTGCTGTTATGATTCGATCAGGGAGGAAAGCGGGGGAGGGGGGGGGAGTAAATGGTCATGCAAGCACAAGTTAGTTGGTACTCCCCCGCCTCCTGCCCTTGGCCCGGCCAGTCAGCCCTTCAATAACCGATAAAAGGGAAAGCGGCCTGCTGCACACTGCATGTAATGCACGTTTTACGAATGTCATACAATGCCTGGTGCACACATTTCCGGGTCGCACTCTGCTAAAAGATTATCACTCCCCCCTCGGTCTTCGCAACGAGAGAAAGAAATTTGTCCCAGGAAATCTCTCTCCCTATTCCAAAACAAATATAAAATGAAGGTGCGTGACCCTCAATACAGTATACTCCGCTAGATCCCGGATCGGAATTAAGAAGAACAAAATTGGAACCAAGGCCGTGTGCCGCTCCCGGATTCGGCGGAGTAGGGATTGGCCCGCGGGAGGTGGAGGACGACCGGGGAGGAGTGCGGGCGCCTCCCCAACTCTCAGTTCGGTTCTTCTTACTCCCTATCCAGGCTGTAGCAGGGTACTTCACTGTTTCTGCTTTTGGATCATCTAAACCCCTCGCCGATGTGGGAGTGTGCGGCGCCGCACTCGGCGCTCGAATACTTTCCTAACGACGATGCAGAGTGCGGCGATGTCCATGTGCGTATATCGTCCAGGAAGGTGATCGAGATGATAAAAGCCCGGGAAACACGTTGACAAAGCATCCCCCTGGCCCCGGCCGCCGCCCCGCAGCCCCGGCGATAGTGCAGGCTGGGCAGGTCACGAGCCGGCCCGGGCCGAGCCGTGCCTTCTGCAGGTCGGCGGGCGGCACGGTGTCGAGCCGGGGCGTCCCCGTCCAGGTCCAGGCTGCACACGTTTACGTAAAGGACTAGCCTAGACACGCGGATGCGGCTCGGCAGAGCAGGGCAGCGTCACCGCCGAAAGGTCGCTCCCAACTCAACACCAGAATGCACTTTTGATGTCGCCGCCTGCCCCGCCCCACCCCGCCCCGCCCCGCCACCGTGACGGTGCGCAGCAGTTCCCGATCTGATGGCGGTCGGCTCCGGTCAGCCCATCGTTGTAATCCTGTTGTCGGCACCGCCGAGGGCTCGGGTCAGTTCTTCGGAGATGCCAAGATTTGGCGGAATGATACGCGTGAGCGGGTGGGAGTTGTCGGGTTGGGGGTCGCAGGAGGATAAGGGGGAAAGGGGGGGGGGCGCAGAGCAGAGGGCGTACGCGAAGAGTCCGCGGACTCGGGATCCGGCACGGCACCGGAGAAGTCCACTGGCGGACGACCCCGTGTCCCGTACCCATGGCACATTTGCGCCGAGGTTTCCTTTAGGAAGGTTCCGCTCTCAAGAGCCGAGCCGGGATGCGCCTTTCGCTCGAGAAAATGGAGATAAGAATGCAAAAATTTATGACGACTTGTTTCGTTTCGTTTATCAGGAAGCGAGACAGTGGCGCCAGGTTGGTCCGCCTGTCGCGGCCCCCCTCGTCAAGAAAAGGGGGGGGGGGGCTGAATAAGTTGTTTGGCGAGAACCACCGAGGTGCGTGTAGGTACACGCATGCCTTGATAAAGCGTGTTTGAGCACTCTGTGAAGTGCTAGATTTTAAGAGACAAAAATCAGAGAGGCAAGGTTCAGGAGTGATACCATACTGGATATCAAGGGCAGTATTTTCTATGCCTTGTCTGCCGAGCCTCACTATGACCGCTCGTCGCCACCATCAGCACCTCGGCCACGCTTTGTCTCGTCGCCACCTGCCTTGCCTCGCTCCGCTCCTCGCTCTGCCCCGTTTCGCTCTCGTCTGTCACGCCAGCTAAATTTCGCATAGCGCTGCCGTTGGTGCGTGCGCACCGTGTTCGAACGCACAGATGGTCGAGTCACGAAGCGCGGTGCGCGCCTACACTGACAAAAAAGCATGGTTGTCGTTGTAAGTTGCAGGTGTGTAGTCAGTCCGTTTTAAATACTGAAGTTATTGTGACGTGAATGCAACGGGCAGCGGCGGAGAATGTGCCGACTCGCGTCCCTTATTCACTTGAATGTAAACCCTCTTAGCCCCTCAAAACGCTTCTTCCGGCAAGCAAACTAACAGTGCGCCGCTGTCTTCAGGCGATATGCCCCGGTGTGGCATTTACGGTTGTCAGAAAGCGCCTGCTGCGAGAGAAATCCCGCCGCAGACCACAAAAGACAAATGATGGCAAAAGGAACACTGACCGTTCTGCTCCTGCTCGCCTGGGGTGCTATTGGCCTTCCCGCCTCCCCGTGAGCTCACTCGAAAAACGTTCACAGGACGTTTCCAGCTACCCCCTAGTGCACATTAACGTGCGTGCGTCAATGTGCAGAAACGGTTGCAGATTTTGAACGTGTAATGTGTTTGTATTACATGTGCATCAAACCTGCTGAAATCGTTTTACCATTGCGCGCATAATAATACGCTTTTACTAGATCAGCGCTGCCCCGCTGCCCGGGCCCCCGCGTCACCCAGTGTAAGGAAGAGTGCGTTTGAAGCGGCTTGAAGGCCCTATATCATCGGTGAGCTCACGTTAGCTCTTCAATCGCACCCTTGCACCTGTTGGGCGATCGAGGAGATCCCGGAAAACGTTCTGCTCCCACCACCCCCTCACCCTGTTTTAACAGATTTAGAAGGCGCGCTCCCGGGGAGCTCCTCGATCGCCCTCCTGAGTCCTGAGGACTAACCCCCGCCTGCAGCCATCATGAGCTCCCGGACTTTTCTGACTGCCGGGGCCGTTATCTCGGATACAGTATCCAAAAATGTTCGAAATGCGAGTAGGCTATATATATTTTTAGATTGTACGACCGTTTTGACTTGCTGGGAAGAACCTATCAAAAGATGGCAAAATATTTTTCGGAAGTCAGAAAGTCCACGGCGACTTCCGGTGTCTTCTCTCCCGTGTGACGTTGACTTCATGTTTCGGTGCATCGTATATTTCTCATAATTGTGAGATTGTGTATGTCTTTAACCAATTATTTTTCTACTTAGCCTTTTTAAAAATATCTAATTATTGAGATATTGTTTCTGTCAGCACAAATAGTCGTGATGGCCAGTGGTAGCACAACACGTGTGACCGATGTGTTAGAGTATCTAGTACACCACATTTTTAGAATATAAGTATTCTGAGATGCTTGTCTGTTAACCTGAAATCAACTCGAAGACCCGGTATCCTGAGACTTTTTGAAAGCGTTCTAAGTAGTGTCAGAGAAGGACTTAATCTCCCTGGAAACCGTTTCGTAGCTATCCTTTTGTTCCTGGTAACGCCATTCAAAGTGACACAACCTATAACCTATAAATAGAGACTTGTGCCATGTGCCAGTCCCTCCACATTGTCTAAGTAAGACTCCCTGGATTCCAATTCTCTTTGAGATTGAAGTACATCTTATTGCTACTACTTTTACTGTGCAACTCTTTTGGACCATCAACACAGTTAAGCCAAGTAAGTCTTTTTCTCAGTCTTATGAAGTAGGTACAACATTTGTCGTTATGTCATTTATTTGGTGCTCTGTTGTGCAATGAAGTTGTTTTAATTGTAAATGTTGTATTAGTTGTGAATCTACTGGATCGCAGGCTTGAAACAGAAATCCTGTAGTTTTCAACCATACACTGTAAACGAAAGTGTGCTACTGGTATGCACATGTTAGTTTTCAACTCTATGGTTCACACTCTTAGGTGTAGCACTGGAAATTTGAATACCTAAAAGTGCCCCAAAGCTTCATGGTCAACTCTGGAGTTGAACACTTCTATGTGTTCAACTTTACCGTTAAATCTCTTTTTGTATGCAAATATCCAGTCAAACGCTTATTGAAAGTGTGCAAACGTAGTGTTGAGCACTTCTATGTGCATGCCAGTTGCAAACTTCATTTATGAGGGCAAATAATGCACTATATTTGCTTAGTACTGAGGCATTGACTATTTGTTATCTGCTGTCAAAACTGAATCTGTTTTGTGCCAACATTCTAATTTTATCACAATCAAATAAATTATTAATAATTCTATTGTAATATATGTGTCTGATGGCAATGTTTCTTGATGATCTAAAATTCTGGATTCATTCTAGGATGTGTGTTTAACTTGCCACAAAAGGACTTTTTGATTGAGTCACAATCATTTGTGGTGGGTATTCTAGGACGTGGCAAGGCGGGGCTCAGCTTCAGGATAGGCATTTGAAGCTCATCCGCACATCCCTGACCTTTCACGACCCGCCAGGAGTGGCGGGTTGGCCTTGCTCTGTATTGGTGCTCTTCATCTCTCAGCCTCCTGTCTGATCTGAGAGAAGAGGGGGAAGGGGGGGGGGGGGCTCTGATGCGACCTCCCCCCTCCCCACCTCCCCCTTTGCTGTTCTCCTGACAGTCTGGGCGCAGCAGTTCGTGACCAAAAAGCTGTTATCCAATTAGTCCCTTTTTCCACTCCCTCCTCACCGGCCCCCTCCACCTGTGCACATCTGACATCTGCCACCTTCCTAACTCCTTGCAGAGCGTCAAACTACAAGTATAACCGAGGAAGTCCGTCTCGTGGGCCAAATTATACTGCCCACTATGCATGCATTACACCTGAGCATATGAGAGTGATGTGTGAGAGTCATTTGAGTGCCGCTTGCCGCTCTGTGAATCTTAGGTCTCCGTCGAAATTAAGTGGCGGTCGGCGGGACTCGCCAAATCAAGCAGAAGGGCAGTGGCAGTGAGGCAGAAGCGTAGCGGGCCGACAAGCGATGTTTAATGGTGTCTGCGCGCGCGTGCCTGTGTGTGTGTGTGTGTGTGTGTGTGTGTGTGTGTGTGTGTTGGGGGGGGGGGGAAATTACTCCCTATCGCCTTTCGCGAGCCGCCTTGAAGGTTGTCAATTTGTGCTACAAAAGCCCTGTGTAGGCAACCGACAGTGCATCGCCCGCTCTGTCAGCCGGACCTCAAATCGCGCCTGGGGGTTGAGTCACTTTATAATGATTTCACACTTGTCTGTTTCCAGGAGTCGGCAAGTGACGACCAAAGAAGGGCCCTTCTTGGCGGGCTGTGGCGAGCGGTCAGCGTTTTGCGGTGAGTGGTGGGCGAGTTATGGGCTTTTGATACCCTGTCATATTATGCGGGAGGCTTGATCTCAGCCGGGGGTCTGCGGAAAAGGGGAGGAGGAGGAGGGGGAAGGGGCTATGATGGCGCACGCATACTCGAAGGGAAAGGGGGGGGGGGGCATTCCACAGTTATGTCATTGGACGACACGGCGAGTTATTGGGGTGTTTACGCTGTGGCCCGTGCTGCCCGTGTACAGCGACCTGGACCCCCCGAGCGAATGTCGGCGGCGGTGCGGCTGCCAACGTGCGACGCATACTTCATGCATCATCGCTGGCTCTTTACTGTGCGTATTGAGGGGGGAGGGGGGGGGGGCGTCGGACTCACGTTGTTGGGCGATGCTTAGTTAAAACGACCTCAATCTATGTGTGTGTATGTAAATGGTGTTTGGAATATAGTACGCACTTTTCGGATATTATTTGTGCTCCGGCCAGGCCCATACACTGCAATCCCAAAAGCCACCCATGACGACGCAGGGAAGACCGAGGCACGATCGAGGAAGAGTGTATGCCTTAGGTCGACTGCTAGCAACGCAGGCCGACTTACTAGCACAAACAGCCTGCAGTTGATATGACTCACGCCGCGCAATTTCATCGTTATACTTGTACCGCTTGCACGCGCGTGCGGGCGGGTTGCCTTGTCGCACGGGGCCATAAGGAGCCGTGGGTAGCGAGAACAGCAGGCAGACCCCCGCGCACCTGTGCATGCGGTACAGTAAAACTGAGAAAGTGCGCGGCGTGAGTCAGCCACCTCCTGTAATGCGTATGGTTATGTAGGGTTGGGGTAAAGTATTAATTTATTGTTTATTGTCTACTGATGCTAAAACGAGCACGAGACGTCTATATCTTAATCATGTCGTTTAAACAGAGAATTCTGCTCGCCATCTTAATCGAACGAGCTGGCAGTACTCGTTGCTCGGGCAGCTGTCCGATGCATGATTAATTCCAGCTTGCCTTTGTCATTGGCTCTTAGTCCACCGTTTCTCTGAAAATGTGAGTGAAACGGCTGCTCGGGTGTTTGGGTGAGTGCGAGAGAGATGTGTGGGGCTTGTGAAAACCTCGCAGCCCTGGTGGCTCAGCTATTTCTCACTGATATAGCGAAGGCGGTCAGTTTGAAAAGGCCGGTTGGGTGGATGAGGGGAGGGAGGGGTAGTCCATTAGGCAGCTAATTTAATCAGAGGACTGCTCAGACGTATGGCGTTATCTAATCCACGTGCGATTAGAGCTGTTTCGGTC